TCAGTTGTTAAATTTGCAATTTTTTCTGCGTATTTTTGATACGAGCAAGTATCATTTAGTATCACAAGTAACTCGCACGCATTTATAATTTAAGTAGTGTGTGTACGTCAGCTCGCTCTGAGTAATCTAACAACACTGAATAAATTATCGTTAATTACTTAGCAGTAAGCATTTCATTTTTTTCTTCGTCGATATGTTATTTTATTATTATATATTATTATTTGTCGATATATTGGCCGGGCCGCAAAAATATTTGTTGTGGGCCGCATGCAGCCCACGGGCCACGAGTTTGACATCCTTGTGTTGAAGAAAGAAAATAATAAAGATAAAGAAAATTATTTTTCAAAGAAAATGTGCAGTTATTATTATGTAAATTATCCAATTGTTTATTATTTCAGCCTTTACTATAATTTCCCATTTCTGTGTCCTCATATGATAGAGTTATTGAGTCAGATTAAATTTTAATCTTTGACCACTAGTCCACACTTTTAGTTTGAATTTGACTGATAAGAGGCTTATTTAAACCTTTGTCTGATATTTTAGTTATTTTCAGACATAGCGATAGTTTGCTTCACATCAGTTGGGGATTTTCGACTATTTAACTTTTACCATATCAAGTAAACCCTCATAGGTACATTGTGGAGAGGTTGACAAGTTAGGAGATAAAGCAGTTAGGTTGATGTAGAAACTAGCGAGAGCATTGGTTTGCGTTTTGAGACAAATCTCTAATTGTTAGAAAAGATGCTTAAAGAGAAAGAAATTGATATAATTTAGCCAAAATGTTTGGGAAGGCTTCAAATTAAAATGACGGATAAATATTTTTTTTTTTTAGTGTTGTTGTTACAAAACATAAATTTTTTGTAGCTTTTAATGTGTAATTATCCTAATATCGTTTAAGAATCAATGTTATAAATTACATGCATTTTAAACTGTGAAATTTGATTAGACTTTGGTTTTAATAGGGCTTTTTTAACAAATATTGTTAAAAAATAAAATTTAATTGTGGCCATGTAAATCCATAATGACTAAGGTTATCTAATTACCTAATTTAATTATTTATAACTAACTGCTTACCCTTAAAAATTATCTCTACATATTAAAGCAAGTTATTGCCTTTCATTAATACTCACTGTGATCACAAGATAAAACACAAAAACGTAAGAATTCAAGTAAAACATATTTATGCACCTACTGAGACTTGCAAACAGACTTAGTAGACTTGAGACTTAGCAAATAATACAAAACAACTTACCACCTCTGGTGCTTTAATGGCTTATTGAAACCTTAAAGTATATTAACTGGGTTACAACCCCTGAAACTCTACACGAAGCTACGACAGTAACTGCATCAAACAGAGCCCGACTAACTTTCAACACTTGCGAACCTACATCAGGACACCTGCCTACATCACGCCTTTCAGGTTTGTTCTAATGAGCAGGTCTTTCTCTAGACAAGCAGCAGCAGTAATAACATTCAGTCTTTTGTTCTGAATCATTCTGATTATGATCTTATTTCTCATTTTAACCTATGCCGTTTGACATAAAATCTTATCTGCTATTTACTCAACCTCTAGACTGACTAAGTACATGACAAAATAAGACATTTAAAAAAATCAACATAAAGCTAACTGTGAGTAAAACCTAAATGTCACTTATCTTCTTTCCAATATGTCCATTTGTTGTAAGTATAAAATATTTAATGCTACTGGATAAATTGCATAAAGTTTATTTTATTCTCAAACTTATTAATAAATATGTTAATTAATTCATGTTTAGTAATAATGCAGACTACTTAGAGATCTATTTTATTTCTAGGATGGTATCACAAAAGTGAAATTCAGGCATACATAATATTTTTAATGGAACTTATTCAGTTCCCATTTGTTCATAGGTCCTTAATTTTTTTTCATTAATGGTCCTTAAAAGCCCTTAAAAGTACTTAATTTTTGTGTGCAGAAATGTGTACGAACCCTGTATAGACTGTTGTGCATTTGGTCTCTTGAAAAGAGCCTTTTCTAAATACAAATCTATCATGGCTCTTGAAAGTAATGGAAGAAGAATAGAAATCAATACCCCTAAAGATTTTATGATAAACCCTTCTATTATGGAAATCCCAATGCAGACGTGTAGTCCAAAAAAAAGGCTATCAGATGGAAACATTTTAAAAAATACTTCTGTATTTTAGACTTTAATTATGTGGCCCAAAATCATTCTTAAAGTGTGTAAAAAATTTTTGGGTATAATAAAAACAAACTGAGAAGTGCTGATGTAGGAACACAAAAACGTAGAAAATACCCCATCACTCACCAATCTTCTAATAACGTGATATCATGCCTCAGTGGGCTTAGTCTGTCTTCTGTTGTGATCTAGAAAATTGAATAGCACATTTGTTATTAAAAAATATTTTACACTCTTTTAAACTGAATTTTCATCATTTAAAAACTTTTAGACATTTTTCGTCCACTCCAATTCCTCTTCTGCTTCCATTAATGTAATACACTCTGCCTTCATGGTGGATAAACGTACACGTTTTTGTTTATAAGTTTTTCAAATTATTGGTACTCTCTCTAAATGTAATAGATTCTATCCCTGTGTACATAGTCATCGATATTACATACATAATATGTGATAGTAAAGCACATAGATGCCATATTGAAAAGGAAGAATTCTGATTGTGTAGTATGCTAATATGTTGAGTTCGTAATATCTAAGAAACTTGGCAGTCAAGATGGAAAATTCCATTTTTATTTAAACTGACATTTGTGGCCATAAATTTTCCATGTTTTTCCCTGCATTTATGCTAATAGTATTAAGTATGCTTACCTTATTGTCATGTAAATCGGCATCTTCTAATCTGAGAAAGTCGATTTTTTCCTTATTAGTTCTTCAATATTTTTTTCCCAGTGTGAAATCCTCATCCTTGCACCTATAAATCAGCTGTACAGTTCTGCAGTATTCCTGGGTAAATGCCGAATTGCCAAAATTCTTTAAAAAGATTTGCTTGTTGTTTGTGTCTAACTTCAGCCATCTAGTTTGCCATCATTTTTATCCTCACAATAAATAACCCTATTTCTTCATTTGGTGCATACCTAATGCTGAAAAATTTATCCAGCAACTGGATTACTCTTCCTCTTGTTTTGGTTCAGATTGCTTCTGCAAAATTTCCCAAGCTTCTTGAACATTCTTGTATCAATCAATGGCCTGAATTCTGTTTTAATTCTATAGGATAAATGGTGAAGGCTGTATTTTGATGTGAAATCTTGCTTTTCAAAAATTGTTGCTCTTTAACCGAGTTCTTCTTCTGTAGCTTCTATGGAGCTCCAACATTTTTTATCCACATTTATATATACTATTTCTATCCACTGATCCCATTTTCATTGTTTAACCGCTTGCCTGATTATCCCGAGTTATCCCGGGTTCGTATATATTGCAGTTAATTGTTATCCCGAGAAAACTCGAGCTAAGCAGAATTTGTCAGTATGATTTGTTTTATCACGGTTTCACTCGGCTTGAAGGAAATGAAAAGAAATATTCAGCTTTTATTGGCAATTCGCCAAGTTTTGATGGTTTCGCGGTTCTTTTGGCTGGACTGGCCACGTGTTTTCCTTATTGTCTAGTATACGTCTGCTTGTGGATTAGTAATGATATAAAGGTTTAGTGATGGCTGGGAGTTTCAACCTCACCACAGAAACCTCATCTGATATTCAGATACATATATTGCAAATGAAAATTGCAGACAAAAGTGATATTGAATTCTTCTGCTTCTTCAGCCTTCACTCAAATTCCTAACAATAATTTTTTAACTGTTTTTGAAAGACAGATATTGCCTGTCTTAAGATTCACCCACCTTGTCTTTTCCATAATTATTTACTCTTAACTCTAAAGAAGTGACATCTGCCTGCTTCAGAGACTTTTCCTGTTGGCTGTGCAATCATTAGCATTTCAGAAACAAATTGATCCGATTAGTTTGTGTAGTATTAACTAGATTTTACTTTTGCTTAACGCATGAAAAAATATGTGAGATTAATTGGTACTTCTTGAAGTAATATGTAGATAAAAATAAAGTACTTATTTATTATCTTTTGGAAGGTGAAACTCTCACCAAACAACATGATTTAACACCAGCTAAACATTAGTATCACAACATCTAAACTTTCATTTGATGTAATCCCACTTCATTCTCGATAAGCCACCTTTTATTTTATGAACAAGGCTATAAATTGCTAACTTTGATTGCTGTACTTTTTGGAAGACTGGAGAACCACATTTGTGGCTGCACTCGGGTTCGTTTACAGCTGTTCGAAGGAGTATGTTGAAAGGGAGATAGAGCAGCTGAATGTGGCTGTCAAAGCAAGAATAGATTGGAATAATTCACCTGCAAGAAGCTCGTTTTCAGTGTTCTAAGCAGAATTTCTGGTTTATTCGGAAAGCCTAACAGAATAGTGGAAATTGACAAAAGCGTTTTTACTAAGCCAGTTGAATACCTCCACAGCAGTGGCTATTTGGTGAAATGTACAGAGAAACTGGTGAATGTTTTATTGTAAGAGTTGCAGATAGAAGTGTGTCTTAGAATTCCACATGGATGACTGGTGTAACTTTGGCAGGGTCTTCTCCAATTTTCATGGTTTGACGAGAGCTAACTTTTACAGTCAACAGTATAGTACGTAAGTACCGGAGCTAATTGTAGACACCGGTGGTGCATAACAACTTTGTAGCTATATTTCGATGCAGTTCTATTTAAATTCATACAAAATTCAACCTTATATGGGTGTTGTATAATTTGTGTTCAGGTAAATATAAATTTCTTATATTTTTCTGAAATATACTAGAAACATATGTACAGTTTGAAAGCTGTAATGCTTCCTCTGAATGGGGTCACTGTGGGTATTTAAAACTTTTACTTCTGGAGTTTAGTTTGGTCTTGGTGGTTTCAGTTTAATTTTTTTGTTATTATTGTTTGAAAATTAATGATTTAGTAGTAAAGCATTTATTTATTTACAGGTAAAACTTCAGACTGCTGGGATGATGAGAACAATCATGCTAAAGTATTTAATGATTCTGTTTGTAATAATAAGCTATCTTACATTGGAAGAAAGGATGCTTCTTGTGTTTCCAATTTAAATTTTTATGATGTAGCTGATAACAAAAGTTCTCAAGAACATGGTATAAATACTTCAGTAGATGAAAAAGTATTTCTAGGAAAAAACTCCTCAAAAATACCACATCATTCAACTCTCTCATCAAGTGATAAGTTGTGTGATCTCAAACCTGTACTGAAATCTGAAACTATTTTGTCTGATTGTTTAGAAGATAATTTGTATAATTCTTTGATCAAGCATGATTCAGTGTCCACTGATAAATGTAAATCTGATAATGTTGGTCATTATAGTAATTCACGTGAAGTTTGTGTTGATGGCTCTCAAAATTTTTTAAAGAAACCATTCAGTACTTCTGAAACTGCAAGTACGTACAATTATAATTTACACGATTTTAGTGAATTTTTACCATTTCATTTCACACCCTCTAATAATAAAGCAAAATACTTTGATATTTATGGTACTTTCCCTTTTAAAAGTCAGGAACACTTAAGTAATCCCAAACCTGTTTCATCTCAGTGTACGTTTTATGAAACTAAAGCTGATAAACTGTGTTCACGGAAAAATCAGACTAAAAAATTTTCATATGAAAATTCTTTAAAAAAAGGTAAACTAAACTTGGTAGGTAAGCTTAATGAAGAGAAAAAGGAGACATTTTTGTGTACAAAGAAAAAGACTTTACCTTCTAGGGATCTAAAAATGCAGAATAAGCAAGAATGGCCTTTTTCTGAAGGTATGCCACTTTTGGAAAAAAATACCATAAATGAGACAGTAAAGGATTCTTATTTACTCAAGACAGAAAAAATGCCTAAGACAGTTAATAATTGTTCTGGTGGACTTAGTAAAGATGTTACTTTCGAGACAGAGCAAACCGGTTTCATTGCAGATAGTTTACCTGAAATAGCTGCAAACTTTTTATCTGGGTTCACAACTCTAAAATCTTCATCCTTGTTAACACTCCCAGATGCAAGTCAGCCTAGTTTAACATGCGGTATGTTGGATGAAAAATTAAGTAAAGATCTCTCAGCTGTTTCTGATCATTTACTTGAAACCAACCAGTGTGATGTAGGTTCTGTTTATGATCTTCAGAAAGACAAAGATGCTAGTACTGATTGTGCATTTCAAACAAATGAACTTACTGTTGATTCCATTGGTGTTCTTCAGAAAGACATAGATATTAATGCTGATAGTGCATTTCAAACAAATGAGTGTGCTGTAGATTCTGCATATGTGCTTCAGAAAGGCACAGATGGTAATATTGATTATGCATTTCAAACAAATGATTTTACTGCAAATGCTGTTCAGAAAGGCAAAGATGCTAATAATGACTGTGCATTTCTAACAAATGAGACTGCTGCAGATTCTGCTTATGTGCTTCAGAAAGACAAAGATAATACTGATAGTAAATTTCAAACAAATGATAGTACTGCACATGCTGTTCATGTTCTTCAGAAAGACAAAGAAGGTAGTACTGATTGTACTTTTCTTACAAATGAGTGTCTTGTGGATTCTGTTTATATTCTTCAGAAAGGCAAAGATGCTAATACTGAAGGTGCATTTCAAACTAATGAGTGTGCTGTAAATTCTGTTTATGTTTTGCAAGAAGTTGAAAGTTCTTCAAAAAATGAAGCATTTCACTTTTCAGACACTATTGAAAGTGTTGCAGAAGCCATTTCATATGACAGAATTTCTAATGAAGAAATTTGTGACAGTTTAAATAAAATTTTTAATGAAAATGATACTAGTGACATTACCATATGTGCCATTACTAATAAAAGTAATTTATGTGATGAAGTAAATTTTGATTTTGAAGAAAAAAATGACATTAATTCTGAATTTTTTCTTAGTAATTTAAATAACTCTGAAACAGCAGATCTTGCATCTAATATATCAAAAGAAAATCTCATAGATTATCAGTCAAACATATGCGTGGAAGGTAAAGATCCAGATATTTGCAAGTCTGACACATCTGTACTCTGTGATAACAAACCTTCTGAAAATTTAGTATGCAAAACTGAAGATTGTTTTAGTGTCATAAATAAAGATGGTAATGAGAAAACTGAGTCACAGAACTGTGATCCTGTTAGTTTTAACCTATCACAACCTTCCGAAAAAATTATGCGTGTTTCTGAATTAAAACACATTTCAAATCTTGAATCAGAAATGGAAACTGAAAATGGTGCTGTGAATTTAATAATTCCAGCTAACTTATATGATGTAGCATTAATTGGCACTAGCAGTAGTAATAATTGTATATCAACAAATGTAAATAATTGTATATCAACAAATGTAAACAATTGTATATCAACAAATGTAAATAATTGTATATCAACAAACTCATATGCACATATTTTAAAGAATTATGATGACTGTGACAGTTCAGCTAATATTGAAAGTCGGAATTTTGATCCGTTAGAAATGTCAAAAATAGAACTTTTGCAAAAAGAGAGACAATGTGTAAAATCATTTCAGAAATCAAAAAAGACATTTACTCAAAGGACAAATAATCACAAACTTATACCAAAACAGAGTGCTCGGAAAAGTGCTTCATCTGCAAATATTGCATTTAGTAATTTTGGTGATATAGGTATTGCATATAAACGCTCAGGAAAATCCATAAATGAAAAGCAGAATAAAGATAGGAGATATGAAAGTAACTTTAAAAAGCGAAAAATGGGAAAAACAGTGATTCCTCTTCGTGAATTTCAGATAGAGAACTCTGACAGCTCTTCATCTTCATCAGTTTTAAGTGTGCAGAATGAGGACGATATCCTTCCAATTGCAAAGAAAACATTCAAAAAGCCATTTACTGCTGCAAGAAAATCTGTTATGGAGTCAAGAGATTTAGTTCCTAAATTAGCAGCTAAAACTTTTCCATGTCGACAACAAGCTACAATAACGCTAACTAACCTTGTAATCAGTAAGTATATTTCTTGAATTTTAACTAAATTTTGAAAATCAGTTTTATAGAATTAATGTATTAATGTATAATATATTGTACAAAAATTTGAGATTATTATTTCTTATTTTAATATTTTTTTGCAGATTTTAATTTTGTAATTTCATGTCTTTTTATGTCTTCTTTCATTTCAAAACATTTCCAAATGTTTATTAAAACTTTTCTGACAATATTTAAATTTTATGTATGGATTCATTCTCGTATGTTTTAGGACAGTAATCATGTTGTTTCATACTTTGGCACAGCTCTTTAGAGCAGTATGAAAATAGATAACATTTCGGTTGATCTTTAAATTATGGTAACTTGGCGATTTTTTGGCGAAAATTTGGCGACCACCTCTGCTACAGCAACCCTCTATTTTTTTTTTCCGCTGCCATTTTGTCTTCATGAAGTAAAGACATGTTTCTTTTCTTTTTATGTACTGAACACTTTTTACAACAATCTGCTAGCCGAATTACACTTATTATGTAATTAGAAATTTTATGTAACAAAACTGCTTAATCATGACAAATATTAACTGCAAAATTGGGAAAAAGTGCACAATCGCAAACTCCTTGCGCGTTTTTCAGAATAGCACATACACATAAACCATTTACACGTCGACTTAATTTTACTTAAAAAAACATTCCAGAATTGCACAAAAATGGCATTGCACACACTCATAACTTTATCCACCTACACTGCTATTTTCTCATAAATTAGAAAAATTTCACGAAAATTTTGTGAATCTTTAAATTCGGTAAAAAGAACATATATGAAATTACCTGATCGCAAAAAAGTATGTATACTATGCAAGCTTTTAACCTTCAGCTTGCATATACCCTTTCCAAAGATGAACATTTCCACGTATAAAATAAATAAAATATCCAAAAACTTTTACCTCTAAATTATCTATTATATTATAAACGTCACCAACGAATTCATACTGCAAACATTACAAATAGTTACAAATACTTAGTGTCAAATATTTAAATTATTTCCATGCACGTTTACTTCCACTGAAACGTATACCAAATTCCTACAAACATATAATTTACAAAATAACTATCATTTAATTAAAATATAATTAAATTAAAAAACACTACTTAAAATATAAATAAGCACATATATTAAATTAATAAAAAAATAGCTTACAATCCTAATTACTTTAAACTAAATCATTGCTAATAACAATTTTCCAATAATACTATATTACTTTATTTACTCCTTACATTTAGAACAATGCATAAAAATAATATCCTCAAATAATTAAAAATACTAAATTACCTAATCTTCTTCAGAATCTTGATTACGTGGCGGATACACTTTTCTAATTCATTCAATAAAATTATTGAATGATTTTTTTCTGCGAATTTTTCCTCCATACTTCCTCCGCTAAATAAAAAGAAAAATTCTCTTTATCACAGTGCCTAAATACCCATTTCGAATTCACTTTAGTTAGGGCCATAGGATTAAAAAATTAACCAACACTGTTTCACACAACACAGAATAAAGCTAAATACAAAATTTCCAGATTTCCCCCCTTTTCCGATTAAAGAACTATAATTCGTCCATTAATGTCACGTGACATATCTCATGATCTCTCATTTCCCTCACACAAAATAATGCGTAATCGGAACTGAGTACTTCTCATATTATTACCAAAGTCCTAGGTAGTAACCTTTATCTCCTCCAAAATGTCGCCAAACTACCAGTTACCATATTCCAAAGATCAGCCAACATTTCTTTTGAAATTTTACTGTTTAATGCACTTCAGCCATGTAATATTTTTATAACAATATAATATATGTAGTTACTCACTTGGAAATTGACTATCATTATACTGGAGTAAATGCTAGTTAGGAATGATAACTCCTTTAAAATTTTGAATAAAAACTAGAAATCCGTATTAGTAATAGAGATTTTTTGGCATAATTGTTTTATTATTTCCTCCCTTAATAACTTACTATATTTAAAATGAGAAATGTTAAAAAAAAACAGTATTTTATATAAAAAGGGGGAAATTTATTCATTATAATTCATACTGAAGTATCATTTAAGTTTTACATATGAATTGAAACTAGGCAATGAATGTTCCCTGGCTCCTAGATGGATGCTTTTAATTTACATTTTTAATGTATTTTTTTATGATCATAGAAAGTACAATCAACTTCTAGAGTTATCTAAAACTTGTGAAAACTAAAATTTTGCTGCTAGTGGTTGAGTGGATAAGGCTGCTGAATGCATGTATTTTTTTAGGTTCAAATTCTAGTGAATAGGTTGGCTGTGTGTCTTTATAGATTTCCACAAGTGTAATATTTATGCAAGGCCTCCATCAAAACGTGCCTTCCTTTAGGCAGAAATGCTTACATGTTTTGTTTTAATTAAATCTTAAAAGGTTCGTTAATCTAATCATATTACTGTACGTTGAGTTTTTTGCACAGTCCTTTCTTTTTTAACAGTAATGATTTAAGTGAGTTAAAGTTTGATGTTTTGGAATTAAGATTTTACTGATCTTGGTTTTAATTGATATATTTCTTTTAAATTTGACAATGAAGTTGTATTTTGAGATTTTACCATTATATGTATTATTATAGATATTAAGGTAACAGTGTAGAACATATTTACTCTCCTTGATTAAATATAGTCTTAATAGTTTTATGTTATTTTTACGGTATTTTAATTTTTATGCTGATTTAAAACCCCTCCATGTTAAACGCACACTTCATTTTCTCAAATCTTTACGTTAGCAGGCACTAAAACAGGTAATGTCAGGGTGTCTGCTTTTCTCGCATATGCATCTGTCTGATGTAGCCATATTGCAATCGTAAAAATACTTGGAGAATGGACCGTGACTGAAGATGTACTGGTTGAGGAAGTGGGTTGATATTGTCGTATTTTCGTCAGCCTTGGGGAGCAGTTCGAATGTACGTCTTCCTTGTGGTTCTTGTTCTCATTGACATTGCCACTGATTTAGGTCATGTGATATAAATATGAGATTCTGTATGTTCTAGTGCTTCTTCTTTTGCATTAAAACCGGCCCTTTCCTTGCCTTCAGAGGCAATGTGCCCTTTGGTTCATGAAATGGCAAATTTCTTATTAGTTGTGCTTATGATGTCGGAAGCTTTCCAATGGCTGGTATTAGATTTATTGGTCGGCATGAGCATTTGCATTTGCCTGTCATCTGGGTTGTTTGGTAGATTAATGGACATTCTTAGTTCTCATTGCTCTGGGGTGTCTTTGTCGTTGTTGTCCTTTGGGAATACATCGTCTAGGATATTGTTTAGAGATTATATCGTGATGTTGGCATTGTTGTGCGTATGGATATTATTTGGGGTGTGTATTTGCATTGATTTAAAAATCTTTGAAGTGGCCATTTATAGAGTGCTCTGTAAGTGTTCTGGTTATTCATGTAAAAGGAAGTCCAAGATTTGACTTTAGCTTCTATGATTTTCTTCTCCTAAATTGCCCTTTGCCTGTTGTATTCGGCTCACACTGTTGTTTGTGCTGGACTTTAATCTTTTTACTTTTTCTCTGTGCTGTCACTAATTCGAAAGCGTTTCAGCTACATTATCTATTTGCTGGGCAATTTCAAAGGTGATGTATTTGTGTTCGGAGAAAGAATCTTCTTTGCTGATCTTCCTGTTCTTGATTTTGTGAATTAGATGGCATGCACTGAGTTGGATCAGGCCATCCTCTTCCATTGATTGGGGGTGAAAGTGGTAAGTCCTTAGGGTTGCTGTGTAGGATTAAATTGTTTGAGTAAATAAAGTTCTGCATGTTTGTTCCTCTTGTGGCAGAATGTGAATAACACCACAGGCTGTTTTGTGCATTAAAATCACTGTTGATCATATGAGGGATGTTGCTATTGTAAAAAGTCATCTTTATTTCTTGGAGGGTGTAATCAAGGTCTTCAATAGGCAATACATAGACACGGGTGAGATAGATTTGTAATTCTGCTCTAGTAATGGATATGGTGATTACATCTCTGTGTTCCTTGATAATGAGTGAAGTCCAGGACTTGTTGAGTACGATGATGGCTGCTCTCTGGACTGTGTAGAGTCTGCATCTTGCCAGGATATGACATTCCATGTTAGTGGCAGGTTTCTTGGGGAACCTTGGTTGCAGCATGGCTCTTGAATGAATATTTTGTCATGGTATTGTTCTGATATAAATTGAATTAGATTATATGTGGCTGTCTTTGAATGTTGATATACAGGACTTTAATTCCATTTTGATGATTGGATTGATGGAGGAGAGCTATGGGATGGATTTCTATGATATTAACGTTGCTTGCTTACTCATTGTACTACACTCTGCTCTTGATTCTCAAAACTTCCTTGTAGGATGCACAATAGTTGACATAGGTAGTATGGTCGCATGAATATTTTTGGTGCCAAAATGCTTGTTGTTTATTTTTCAGTTTATGCAGCTGGGGTTATTAGATTTACATTCATTCTCCTGGTATTTGCCACCGCAGTAAGGGCAATGTGGATGATATGTGCAATCCATAGAATGATGACGCTTGACAGTTATAACATCTGTGGGCACCAATAAATTCTGTAATTGAACTGGTGTGCCATCCAAAGTGGATGGTGCATAGATTCATGCATTTATTTGATAATGAAACAGTTTTACACTCCAATTCATTTGATTGTGTTGTATTTGTCCTTGAGTTTAAACAGATGCTTGAAATTGGAGATGTTGCTGTTCGTAGCTTTTGCAGGTGCGATGCTTACTGCTTCAGCTGTTGTATTCTGAGGGAGTTGGTGGGTGGTGCTCTTTGGAGGTCTTAGCTTTGGTACCTTGATATGGATTAAATCAGTTGCTTTCTCCATTTGTTTAAGGAGGTTATCTACCTTAGTTACACCATCCTATGAGGTGCAGTGTACTAATCCACCTTGCTTTATCAGTACTATTTTCGTGATGTGGGTTTAAATGTTTTTGATGGGGAAGATGTCTTGCATTTTTTCTTGTAATTTTGGCATTCTTTGCATAGATAAAAAGAAAGGACTAGTTCTTTTTTTTTTTTTTTTTTTTTGCCTCAGAACTTTTGCATAGGTTGCTATAATGTTGGGTGCTGCATAATTATTGCATTTGGGTGGCTTACTTAGGAATTTCAGTGTGTGAATGATTTGAGCATCACTGTGAGTTGTTTACTACTGTTGTTGGCTATTGTTTGCAAGATTTGGTGATTGCTGGAGTTTCATTTGCTTTGTTGCTGGCTGGGTTATACAGCGCTGATAATAAAGAAGTTAGCTCTTTCCAGATAGCAGTGGGAACGACGTATTTGCAGCTGTAATATGAGTTTGCTACCTCCATGCAGTGAGACTAGATGTCAGAAGCAGGTGTAGGCAGTGACGTGTGCGAGCTTGCTGATTGGGATGCTGCTTGTGACATATTGTTGGAGGTGTTTGGGGAGGGAAAGGGAGTACTTTCAGTGTCATCGCACCGTATAAGTATACAGCATTTGAAATTTGCCCATTACATACTGGGCAATTTAGTTTGCCAGTTTTGGTGATTATGTGTGTTGGCCACTTTAAAAAATAGTATTCACTTGGCATAACATTATTGTGCATTAGTTGAATTAATTAATCATGTTGAGGTTATCTTATGTGGACAGTTCGTACTAATTTATAGCTTTGCTTGATTAAGGAAGTGGTTATGTTTGGTAATTTTACTTTCATTTATGAATATTTGTGTCTTTTATGTCTAGTTTTTCCTTTTGAAAACAGCATAGAGTTGATGCAGAAATGTGCCGAATTTTCTCTGTATGTAATTTTTATCCCTTCTTCCTTTGTGATGCTTTTTTTTTTCCCCTCTCCTTAAGGTGACAGTAAGGAAGATTCAGTCACATTCTTATCATTAAAAAATGCAAGTGATGGAGGTAAGCATAGTAATTTGTTTCTGATTAGCTCAATAATTTTAAAGTTAAAAATTTATATTAAATTATGTAGCACTTAATCCATGTTCACATATTATACCATTTACCCGGATTTGCGAGTTCTCCTGATTTAGGCAGGAGATCGTCAATTGAATCAACGTCATCGATAAATACACACATAAGCACATTATAGAATAAATGTAATTACACTTTACCTTTTACTTCTGGTTTATCTTCACAATATCAACAATCAGGCTTTATTCAAAGTGTATTTAACATGTCAGTTGCATTACAGAATAGAAAGCACAAGAAAATATATCACATGATAAGTTATAAAAATCATTGCCACATGCTCGATGCAAATACCATATTAAAACTAAAATGTTATAAAACAGATAACTGACATCATGTATACTGCTTTCAACACTTGTTAGAGTGCTATGAATATATTTGTGTACATTTTTAATTATAGAATATCAAGTGCACATGTTGAGCCACTTTGATTGTGCATGTTTTTTAGAATTTTTTTTCCAAGAATAAATAGATATATCAGCTGGCCATGACTACATCTTTCTTGTAACTATCCAGTTATCATTGTCATCATCTGTGACTGAATCAAAATGTATATATGTAAACTTTTAATAGCTTTTAGAAAATTCCAAGTACCGCTTTTATTAGTAGCATTACTTTGTAAAATAGCAGCAGATTGCATAAAATCAGAGTAATTCATCATGTAGTAGAGCAAAACGTGTTAGTGAAAAAGCAGGCACCTATCTTAAAAATATGGAGCCTAAAATTCCGTATTTCAAGATAAGCTAATCAGAATAATAAAAAAGGGGTGGGAATTGCCTTTGGTGAATGTATTTAAAAATTATTGGGGAGAAGTTATTTGATTTTTTAAGAAAGCAACATAATATCCCTGTATTATGACTAGATAAAGGATTTCTGGTTCATTTTTGCTATTATGTAAGTATGTGTATTACTTGCATTATGTAAGAATGGCATGATTTTCGTTAATTGTGGATTGATACACATTAGACAGAATAATTATATTGTTATTTTAATACAGAATGGGAGAATTACCATTTTAGAAAAGGGATTTTATGGATTATTATAAGTTAAGGCAGTGATTCTCAATCAGTAGAACGCAAGAGAAAAAATATGTGGTATGAAAAGAAACAAAACATTTTTCACTGTCGAATTCAAAAATTTAATACTCCAACATCATGTTTAAGTTTTTTCTTTAATATTTGTAAATTTATGCAGTCTGAGCTTTGTTTAAGGTCAATAACCACTCATAGATAGCAAAATAATATGTTCACAAATATTCTTTTATCCATAGACTTGACAAAATTTATCATAAATAATGTTTTTGAAAGGACTAATAGAACTGAATGTTGTATTTAATCGGAAGTATAAATAAGTTCCTATAAAAAGATAATAGTATCTCTTAATTATTTTAGAGTTGATTGATTTTTAACATGCCTGCACTTAATGCTGCCACAATTTCCAACCTTATATTGCTCTGTTTTAAATAAGAATAATTTATTTGTGAAAAATAATAAAGCAAACCTAGATTTTCAAAATGGAAAATTGACTAAGATTGATTAAGCAAAAAAGTGATGATTCACTTGTGATAGATCCAGGACAATCTACTAGCACTAAGAATATTGAAAAGAAAATAAAAATGTTTATGGAAAATGTAATGAAAGTTATTTATCATTTGCATTTACTTGGAATGAAGAAGAAATGAACCTTCAACCTCAGAGTGTTCTTTGCAGTGAACTGTTATCCAATCAATGTTTCTTAAAAGGCATCTTGAATCTAAGCATGCCAATTTAAAGCATACATCTGAAGAATATTTTCAGAGGAAATTACCGAGTTCAAAAATAGTAAACAAGTAATGAAAGGTTTTGTTACTTTAAGTGAAAAAGCTTTGGAAGCTAGCTAACTAGTAAGCCTTAAATTGCCAAGACTGGGCAGGCTCACAGTTTTAAGATTATTCAACAAAAGATGATGCACTGCTGGCCATTAAAATTGAAACACCATGAAGGAAAGCCAATACAAAAAAATATATTTATTGTACGTAAAGAGCATGGCATGAAGACAAAATGATTAACTTTGTAAGCAGTTTTGGTGTTTACAGGGGTGCAAAATCAGTAGAAACAGCTACCATTTTAGCTCTGGCAGCTAAAATGGCCCATACCCGGTTAGGCATGGATTCGAACTGGGCTTCGATGACAGAAACAGGCAGTTCATTCCATGCTGCTTCAAGTCTATGCCATACTTCATCAACCATATTAGCTGGAAAAGGATGACGGGCCAGTCTCTCAGCAGCCTATGACCAGATGTTTTCAGTGAGTGACAGATCTGAAGACCGTGTAGGCCAGGGCAGCAATCAAATACCTTATATCGAGGAAGGTCAGAATACGATGTGCAACATATGGTCTGACATTATTTTGTTGAAAGATGGCGTTTGGCAGGCTTCGAAGATCTGGCACAACCACTGGTCATAAGATGCCAGAAATGTACAGATGTGCATTGAAATTACCATCGATCCGAACTAGAGATGTGCATGTCCTGTACCCAATGGCTGGCCAAACCGTCACACCAGTCGTAGGGTCCCTATGCTGATATTGAATACAAGCAGGCAACGTGCAGTCTCCTCGGAGCCTCCAGACACGTATACGATAATCAGAATGCTTCACACTATGCCGGGACTTGTTTGAAAAGGCAACATTGTGCCACTCCTGTATCCAGCTCTGTCGTCTGGCTCACCAGAGTCGCCCTCTCTCTCTAATCTGCATTGTCAAGGGAAGCCAAAGTAATGGTTGCCGTACTGATAGTTCACACTGCTGCAAACGTCGTGGCACCGTACAAGCAGATACTGGACTTGCTGCAAACATGCCCATTTCCTAACTTATGGTCTGTTATGTGGTTGTACGGTTTTGCAGGGCTGACCTCATTGTATCCTTTTCAGTCAGGGCAGGGCATTGAGATCCTGCATGCCGTTTAATAAGATCCTCAGCAACCCATTGATTCCATATTCGTATGACTGGTTGTATATCAACCAGTGTGACAAGCGATATCGCAGAATGATAGTCCACACTCTTGATAAGCAACGATTGTATCTCTATCGAATTCCGACACTTGCTATTAAGCAATTCTTCTTCTGCTTATTCGAGACATAGCACAATATTCTGAGCAAACCTTACAAAGTGCTTTCTGAATGAGAAATCCACTACACAACTTTTCTTTTATACAGTGCTTCATATGTCATCTAAATGCGTTGAAATACTAATCATTTGCATATCCCAACCTCTTCTCTTCATGTAATTTTGATGTTCATCAGATCATTCCTTCCTGGTGTTGCAATTTTAGTGGCCGGCAGTGTATTTTAAGCTATTTACAACTAGAAAGTTTTCTAACTAAAAATAATTTGAAAATAAAAAAAATTACATCCAACATTAAAAATCAATGTTTTACATTGATAAATAATTTTATTGATAAATAAACATGTATTTTTCAAAGGATTATGAAAAAGAAAATTAGATTAGAAATCCATTTTATTCTAATGTACCAGAAATTTTATCTTGTGAAAAAAAAAGAACAATTGATAGAAATCTAACTGAGGATTTTAAAAATAATACACTTGTTAGCATTTGGCTGGACTGAAAAAAAGAAGTTAAAGGCATTTCAAATAAAGCTATTAAATTTTTATTTTCTTTTTACACAGCCTATTTGTGTGAATAAGGATTTTATTCCGTGATCTACAGGAAAATTCAAATGTGGAGCTTAAATTACTGCAGTTTTCAGTATTTTGGTCTTGATTCCTTTCTGAAATATCTTATAATGTATGGTGAAAACTAAGTGAAATAAAGCTAGACTTAAAGAAATCGATCTCTCTTAAACAACCCCAAATTTTATACTAAATTTAAGAATTAAAGTATTGTAACTTAAATTTTGATAATTAAAATGTTAACCTATTTTTTATGTATTTTTTGTTTGTGCATATTTAACACAAATAGCCAGTAGGTTGTGCAAATGGCAAAATATATTATATATTTTTTAAATATTTCTATTGAGAAATTGAAAAATAATCATTTTAAAATGTAGTGGTGGTATTGAAATTTTTTAACTTTCTTTTTATCTAAAATGTGTATGTGTTATTTAAAAGATTGAGAACCACTGAGTTAAGTTTAACCCTCTAAGCGGCAAGGCAGTATATATACAGCTTAGAATATTTGTTATGACATCTGTAAGAACGTATATATACGTGCATGTTAAAATATGTCAAAGAAATTAAGGCAATATATGAAAAGTACACAAATCCAGATGTGAAATACCAGGAGAGTTTTTACATTAAAAAATTTTTTTTTTTTTTTTTTTTTTTTTTTTTGTTCTCATAGTAGTTTTGGAAAATTTGTGCTTTGTTACCGAAAATCCTGTCCGCTCAGAGGGTTAATATTGTATTTATTCATATAAGAATATATGCTTTTTGAAATTTTCACATGTGTTTTGCTTATTTTGTATGATGTAGTTCATGAAATAATATGAACAATATCTGTTTTATCACATTATACATACAATTATCAGTTTCCATATCCTTTCTAAAAAATATTAAGCCCACAATATTAAGGAATTTTAAATTTTTCATGCAAAACAAGCACATGATCTGTATGAAAGTAAAAATTTGTTAACAGGAAGTATTCCACCAGATACTGCTAAGAAGGGTTTGAAGTAAAAAGTCTATATTTTACAAGATCTAAGGACTTGGAACTTTGTGATTTGCAAGTGAATTATAATTTACTTAATGTGACAGTTTGCTGTAAAATAATCATTTCCTTATACCTTGAACCATTCTCTAAGAATTTTGACTACATTTTCTTCTCTCTCTCTCTTTTTAATAATTAGCTCTTTCCCCCCCTACCTTTCTTTTTTTAATAATTCTCTCTTTTTCTCTTTCCCCCACCCCCTTCTCTCTTATTTTTTTTCTTTTTTAA